GTGGTTCCCGAGTTGAAAGTTGGGGACAAGTTGCTGCGGACACACACACACACACACACACACACACACACAAACACAAACACAGACAACCCTGTGACAATATGCATTTTGTACTGCTGTTACACAGCACAAAACGCATAAAAACAAGCACAATTCAGAGAGATGGACCCACATTCAGCCTTCTCTTGGCGAAACCCTCCCTCCCGAACTTCACACTGCCAGCTGGAATTTCATTATGTGAGTCAAACACCAGAACACTGTCTGTCGAGACGAAAGGACTTCTTGTTTACGTGATGGAACCAGAACTGCCATAAAGGTGCATGTTCATACCCTACTGCTACTGCTTATGTAGCATGTTGTTTCAGTAATTTTACATCCCCCTTTTTTGAACTTTCCGTCCTTTAAACAAAGTAGAAGGCATGATTCAGCAAATTCCACCTCTCAACGGCAGCAACTGTGCTTACCTCTGCTTTTTATGTGCTAATAAAACAAGTGAAATTGAATGTGCTGGGAAAAAATTTTGCCTACAGCGCTAAATTTTGCATCTTTTAAAGCCAAATTTATCATTTCTGTTTTAACAGACTTTGAGTTTGGCGTCTGCTCAGTCAAATCTTGCACAATACAAAATATGTCTTTCGCACAAGCACTTTTAACGGCTTGAAAAATCAAAAATGGGCGCCTGCTCCCACCTAATCTACTTCTGGCTGAAATTTGAAAAATAAATTTCAACTAAAAAACAAAGCGTTAGCCCTGCAGAGCTACTTTCTGCTATTTTGCCTAAATCTTGCGGAAGCTAAACAAAGTCTTACCAGACTCAAAATTGCCTCAGCTTGTCTTTCTTTTGATTACTAAGACAAATTTTCGAAAAAAGGAGCTAACGCCAGCTTTGCAAGCATAGGTAAATGTTACCAATGAAAACATATGTGTTTACTGGAAGAAGAAAGAGCCGAAAAGGATTTTATATGCATCCAATATCTTACAGCACTACCAGCAAAAACAATCTGTCAAAACACAGGATCTAGCAGAACAACAAAGGAGAAAAAATCGACTAGAAACCCCAATGATTCTCAAACATTCCTAGCAGTTCTTAAATAAGACTAATCCGATCCTTAGATATATATCCCATGCAGACCTTATCCCTTCATTCCTGAGCATCCATATACGAAGCATATTTAGTACAAAAAACATACGAGCAACCCGCAAGAAAGCTTCCATATGTAATCGTGCCATTCCAGCCCATCGAAAACGTTCACTTCCAAGATCTTTAAAATGCAGGCAATCAAAAGCACAAAAATTATCATCATCATTATTTTTGTCGAAAAAGTCACAAGACCACGCAGATAGCCGATGTGGGAACCTGATGTCAATTATGCCACGCGGATGTTTCCACGCACTGAAAGCAGCTATATGCCAGGTCTATCCATCCTAAACAGCCTCAATTTATGCCTCCGTATCACGCACAAGCAAGTGGAGCTTCTGATGGGAAATTCCCCAGTTCGGGAACTAGGCATGTGCTTAATCCTGCACACCCAAAGTCTGCGAAGCAGTGAACATTCTTAACAGCAAACGTCCTCTGGAAGAATTGCACAAAATTCATGATTTCTTTCCATTCACGACGCTTCTTAATATTCGCTACGGTGCACTTGCCTTCGCGTGTTTCAAAAAAAACGATATCCTAGCACCTACAGATGGTTTCATTTGACAGGGTTTGCATTGTACTGTATCGCTATATTACGAGAAAAGCTTAGCATGCAGCCAAAATGCCACAGCGGTTCATTGTCACACTTAACCATTCACACACATCGCCAAGTTATTCCCGAAAGGACGGTAGTCTGACCCTTTGTTCTTTCAGTACAGGATTTGCGAGTTTGCAAGGGGATGAATGGGAGATATGCATGCTGCAACGGAAGCGCAAGGTACAGTGATACGAGGGCGCGCTATGTGCAATTTTTCACAGCATTTTATGTTTTTTGAACTCCCATTTATTATAGAACACTTTTTTTTAAACGAAATTTGGACCATCTGGCTGGACAAATCTAGTACACTCGGGCATAATTTTAACTACTTCTGCACCACATTATTTTTGCTATTTATTAGTTCTCCTTGACAATCCAGCTAATTTGATTAATGTTTCTTCTACTTCCTAAAGCTTAGATGTTTTTTTTTTCTTTTGATTTTTTTTTTTTTGAAGACGTACCGTTCAAGACGATTTACAGAGTCAGAAGCCGCGGAAATCCTCAGCTATTCAATAATTTCTAATCCAATTTTTAGCATTTTTCTTCTTTACCCATTCTACTTTAAAGTTGGTCGCCAATCAATCGTAGAGTCGCACTCACACGCTCTACTCACCTATAGAGTATGCTATCGTTACAGGATAAAGCTGCTACCACTTCAACTTACTAATAATTACTGCTGCGGATAGCGCTGCTTGCCTGGTGAACGTTGAGGAATCGATTCCGTCAGTGAAATAACCAATCCCTCTACGATCTTATTATTCGCCCCAAAGGCAAAACTGATATGATTGAGAAAAATTTACCACCAGCTTGCTTGTTAACGATAAACGAAAGAGGGTACGATCGACAGTCCTGTCAGTGGGTGGCTACCACCTGAATTACCTCCAAGTGCCTATGGCTCTGGTAGAGGTTGCATTAAGGATGTTTTGAACTTTAAGATCGATCAAAGTTTCAGCGGTCTGAAATTTCAATAAAACGAGCCAATATCTGCGATGAGCCCCCAAGTTATGGACATGAACATCGGCTTGTCGCCATCAAGCTCCGTTTGTACATGGTTAATACGCAGAGGTAGATAACGTGGCCGAACAACCATTAATGCCATTTCGGTGCAGAACACATTTCGTGCCGAAAACGGCTCGCTGCAAATTTTGAATGCAAAAGCTGAATCAAGAGGTACAAAAACTGATTCAAAGCAAAGCAATACTCAGTCAAATCCGGCGTCGAATTCACTGAGAGGAACAGAAAACTTCACCGAAAGGACAAAAACTGTGCAGAACAGAAGAAAACAAAATGCATTAATACTGGAAAGCACGAGATTAGACTCGAAAACGTTAAAACAAAAGTGTAAGACAGACGTTGCGAATAACAAAGCGAAGCATCACTTTGGTCGATACCCGCCACGGACTAGAGAATGTAGCTATGTTTTTGCTACATGTTGAGTGCACCACTGTTCTAAATACGACTGCGGCATCATCGCAGTAAGATGACGAGCTTCATATCAGCAGTTCAGGTAAAAAAAACAGACGGTCTGATGGGATCCGCGAGGATTACAGCTTCGAGTCACAAACTATATTTATCTCGATTCCTAGGCAGGCTTGGCAGAGGGGAACAATGAAAATACTTTTAACAAGTATTTCGCAGTGGCCTTGTAAATCAAAATCCATAGGTGGAATGGTTAGCAACTAGCGTTCCGGCATGCGAAAGTAAGTCGATGAAGAAAGTGCCGACAGAATTTGCAATAGCAGAACAAGAATATTAGCAAAACTGCTGGAGCTGTCTGTGCAAAGCTCACACAGAGCCGCCCGTCCAGCTTAACGCTGCTGAGTTTTCCCGTCCTGAATATCAGCTGCAGCTATAACGCTCTTTCTTGGAACTCGTCTAAAAGCACATTCCGACTCTCAAGTACCACCCACTGCAGGTTATCAGCAAAGCAGCGACTTGGTACTCTCTGAATCTTTTAAGGAGGCCTTACTTGCACTGGAAGCATATGCTAGCTGCAAGCCCGTTGCTAGTGCCACCAGGAATATGTGCCAACGGCATTTTAAGGGCACGTTCTCGGTCCGCTCTCATCAAAAAGCCCGATATCACTTCCAGGATCAATCCATCCCCGCTGATAACAGCTATACCGTCGTATTTGTCGAGCTTAACATTTTTCGCAATTTCAACAGCATGTCTTTCGTAGTCTGAAATAAATTTTGGCTATCCTCAAAGCAAACGAGCCTAAAAGCCTTCAGACACTGCTTATCAACAATGCAGATGGGTTTCAGTTCTCATACGATGCTGTATTTCCTCACTTGCATTCCACTAATTCGCCCGCTTTCTGGAGGCCATCAAACTTTGCTTTGTGTAAAATTGTTGTGCATAAATTAAGAGTTACATAGTGACCTAATCCGGGATTTCGACATACAAGTTCTATTAGAGCTTAATTCTTGCACGCGCTCTCACTTGTGTCAGTCCGGCACTGCTCAGTGACCTGTATTGGTCAGTGAGTTACCCCGTCCGTTGCCATGAGCTCATCGCCTTTGAAACGACACTTACGTGAAAACTCTGGTTTCCTCTTCAACATTTCTGCATCATCACAGAATTTATTTCGACTCAGACCTTAACAAAGATCGCATTTTGATGCAAACAATTCATCTATCACGATCAGCGCAGACGGTTACTGCAGCGAAACGCCAGGCACAGCTTTTACACCACAAAAACCTTCATATCTTATAAGGATTACTTGATAATACTGCAGACTTTACCTGTCTTGATAAAATCGTAATCAATGTGAGATGTTCGAAAAATCGGAGCCACGTACGTTTCCCACAGTTTTGGCGCGCATTTCTTCCCGCTGAATGGGTTAAGAATCACTAATATTCGGCGATTTAAACGAGAAACTGCGGCCGAAAGATGTGCTGAAAAAGACAAACGATAATGAACAGATGTAACGGCTGAGAAGAGGAGGACGCGGGAAGCATATGAGAAAAGTTAAACTCCGTAGCGAGAGAATGGAGGAACGGAGAAGGGAGAAGCTATAAGGGCCAAGAATTTAACATGGACACTAACGTGCTTTCGGAGACTCAATCTTCCGTAAGATTCTATCATTCACACGTATCGTATCCTCCTTGCTGTTAAATACAATGGTAACTTTAACCATATGACGCCCCCCTGTAACAACAGGGCAAGCGGTTAAAACCAGCGGTTGTAGATCAATTCCTGGACCAGGTACTCGAGATCCTGAAAAATATTTTCCAATATTATTTGGAGGCTTGATCGGCATTCCTGGTATCGCCCGCATATAATTTAACAAACCAAAGGACTGCTTCAGCTTATGCTGCTTAGATTTCAGTACAAACATATGTCTTCGCTCCCCAGTTGGGAGATAACTTTATCGAGCGATCTAGTGGTGAAAATGTCCGGCACGCGGTTGTGATTTTAACACACATCAGCAACAACTTGAAAAGACAAAAGCCCCACCAAATACTCCTGTCAGCTGAAGAGTTAAACTGGCAATACTTTCACGAGGAAAAAACCAACTTTAGGAATGTCAGCAGCACTGGTCAAAGCAACTGAAAGTGTTATCAGCTGCACAGGAACAAGCTGTCAAAAAACATGTTGTACACACTCGTCTAAATTGTCCAACTCTACGTCGAACCTACTGATGGATGAGGATACTGCATATCACCGACTGGCATCTACTTGAAAACCAAAAAATGAATGCCGCACAGACAATCGAACAGATGCAGTGCGAACGCAGGGTAAGTTTGGTGAAAGTAGAAGTACTGCGGGGGCTACGTTAAGCGTTTGGATGAATCTCGGCGAAACCGACAGTCCCACAGTGAGATTCGAGCGACCTTGGTAGTTAAGACCTTGAAACCACAACAGGTCAAGTTGATACAACAAATGTAATTTACAGATCGTTCTAGGAGATTTGGAGGAAACAGAGATGTTTGATGGGAAACGTTATCAGCCAAATAAAATCATGCCGTATTGGGAGGCCACTTCCGAGGCCAGGATGTCATCATATCTGATATTGTATGATGAATGTCGTGCAGTTTCAAAGACTATTTCCTTATCGTATTCGACGCAGCGAACAATCCGATGTCGTTTTCGGCTGATAAACAACTGCGCCTCAGCGATCCTCATTGTAATCCCCTCAGCGGTACAGTAAATAAGAAATGAATTGGTTCTCGAGACTCGCAAACCCATTCTCCTTTGTTTCCTAAAAATACAGAACAATCTCATTCTTTAAAACCCAAAATCTGTTTGTAGCTTGCACATCAAGTTAAGACTAATAGTCACAAACTGCGGCTTCCTGATAAGCAAATATTAATATAATCCAAACATCAACGTGTCAAAAGCATCGGCTAGCTCTTTACTGAAGAGCGAACTGGACAGAGTGGACAATACTTGTTTTGCGTTTTCTGATAAAGCTACAGTTTCGGGAAGGCATGCTGCAAGACTGAATCTCAACAGTGCAGAATCAGTCCTGGTCATAGTTAATCAACAAACCGCAAAAGTTTATATAGCGTCTCGGATATCTGCGAAGAACCGGCAAGAAATGAATCACTGGAGGCCTTACCAGGTGAACCGGTGCGATCATGCGTTGCACTAGGTCGCGCTGTAGTGGAAAGCTTCGTCGAGCTGCTTCTGACCCACAGTTTTATGCGTTTTGTGCTGTGTAACAAGCAGTACAATACGCACATTGTCACGGGGTTGTCTGTGTGTGTGTCCCACATTTTGTCCCGCACTTCCAACTTGGGAACCACAAAAGCTGGGCGGCTGAAATTTTGGTATAGTGCTCCCCGCCAGCGAGTGCCGCGGAAAATTTAAATTCAGCCTTCTCGTACCCGCGGGTAGAACGTGCCGACTCGTAAAAGATTTTTCGGGTAAAATCAGTATCTCGGGAACTACGGAAGCCAGGAAGCTAAAATTTTATGGGTATGTCCCCTGACCACGTGCGACCTAGAAAGCTCAAACTCAATCATCCTGTACCCGCGGGTAACACGTACGATGTCGTGAAAATTTTTGACGGGTAAATTATCTCGGGTACCACGGGGTCTAGGAAGCTGAAATTTTAGGGTAATGGCCCCCCTGCCTTCTCTCAACCTTGCCTATTCAAATTCAGCGTTCCCGCGCTCTTGAGTATCACCTACGGCCTCGTGAAAATTTTGGCGAGTAAACTATTAACTCGGGAATTACGGAAAGATATTCACCCTTTCAGGTTTCGAATTCAGCTTTCATGCACAGGTGCGTGAAATTTTTAACTAATGTCCAATGTTTGAACTATTTTTGCACAGACTAAAGTACAAAGCAGTGGAAATCATTAAGAGGCAATCGTTCAATGGGCTGAATTGCACAAAACGCATGATCGCACCGGCTAGTCTGGTGCGCATTGCTATTTATTGAATTTTGATTTGTTATGCATTTTTGCTGTGCAGCGACATAAAGCTGCTACAGTAAGCAAAAACGCATATCGCTAAGTCGCCCATGTGTGTACGTGTGTGCTCGGAAGCGAATGAACTTTGTCACCCACTTTCAACTCAGCAAGCATGAAAGCTGGAAGGCTGAAATTTTGCAGTCATATTCCCACCTCATGTGTCACTCGCCCGTTTCAGAATCTTCGCTCACACGTGCCTAGATCTCGCGTACAGGTCCCCGAAAAAAGTATGCAAATTTCTTTGGCATAAAACAATTTCATGAACCAGACAATACAGAAACTTGAAACTTTGCAGGAATATTCTATATGCATGTATGAGTAAAAGATTTTAAATCCAGCTAAGGTAAATGCTTATGCCGCATTTATGGCCGAGTCAAAGCTCACAGTTGGCACTGTGTCAACTTGAAAGTCATTGGCGACGCACACCGGGCGGGCCCGTGCGAACATGTGTTTTTGCAGGATTTCGAGCTGTAATGAGATCGCTCGGAAACCTAGTAGCTAGGATTTATGACGTACAGGTCCTCAAAGTTCGGGAAGTTAATTGTCTACGCGGCACTTGGACAGGGAACACTCTGCTATAATTACAGCTTTCCAACTTCTCCGGTTCCAAAGTTAGCAATTTTCCTGTAAAAAAATTTCACGGCGCCGGACGTGATAACCACACATGCCTGGGGTCTGAGCTCGATGATTTTAAGTTATACATGCGCTGGGAACATTCCCTTAAAATTTCAGCCTCCCAGCTTTCCTATTTCCCGAGTTAGCTATTTTTCCGCCAAAAAATTATACGACGCCGTACGACAGAACCACGAACGCCTGAAGACTGAGTCTGATAAATTTTTGTTGTACATGTGCTGGAAATATTCCCTGAAAATTTCAGCTTTCCTGGTCCCCGAGTTAGCCACTTTCCTGTCAAAAAATTTCACAGGGCCGCACGTGATAACCACGCATGCCTGGGTCCTGAGTTCAATGATTTTAAGTTGTACATATGCCGGAAACATTCGCTGAAAAGTTCAGCCTCCTAGCCGTCCAGGTTCCCGAGCTCGCCGCTTTCCTGCCAAAAAATTTAACGGGCCCGTACGTGAGAATTACGCATGTCTAGGCCTGAGTTCGATGACGATGACTTTAAGCTGTACATGCGCTGGGAGCACTCCCTGGAAATTTCAGTCCCCCATTTTTCTGGCTTCCAAATTAGCTGTTTTCACGCCAGGGACCCTCACGGGGCTATACGCGGGTACCACGCACATCTGGGGACCGAATTTGAAATCTTTCAGTTTCATACGGACGGGGAACATAACCTCAAAATTTCTGCTTTCTAGCTTTGCTGGTTGCTCAGTTAGCGATTTTCCCGCCAGTACCTTCACTCTCTCGTATGCGGGGCCCAGACTTGCGTGAAGGTTGGTATCGCGCTCCTGGGGTGGCACTAGGCAGGGGAACCAACAGGCAAAATTTTGGCGCCGGAGCTTACTTGGGTGCCCAGTCAAAATATCCAGACAGACAGACACAGACACAGACACACACACACACACACACACCGGGGCCGTCGAAATATGCTCTTTCGCATTTGCATACATGCAAAAACGCATAACTAGTTGGACAGCAGCAGGTGAAATTTCGTGAGAACATTTGTTGCTCATATGGAAAATCGTATAGGAGATTTGCAGTTGCGCCACATCGTAGGGCACTTCAAAGATATTTGTAGCGAAGTGGCTATTTCGCTTATCAGATAAGCTGCAAAGCTAAAACTTTGCAGAGATATTCTATATTCATGTGTGATCTTAATTTAGCTTGGAAGTGAAATCCCTTGCAAGCAGACATGAAAAATACTCGATTTTACCGCAAGCTCAAAAGCAAGTGCATTTTGCAAATTTCATAATCCTCTCCTACCTTCCTTCAAATTTGCATTTTTTCAGTGCACCAGCATTCACCGGAAAAACAACCGGGTTTCATGCAAAAAATCGATAACCATGCACGTTGAAGGTCCATGCGGCCCCATAATGCAACACCTTCATCCCGGCCGACGCCCTCTCCCCTCGCATGTGGTAAAAAGCCAAAACACAGTCAAACGAGCCCGAGTATTTAAACACAGCGCAGGGACCAATCGTGTTGTTAGCGATTTGTAAGTTTAGCACAAAACGCACGACCACTTCGGCAAAGCCTGGTGCGTTGCAGCCTGGGTTTTGATATGTGCGCTTTGTACCAATATTCTGTTTGTCCAGAAGTGCGGGGGCCTGACATGAAATTTGTCCAGCTAGGTGGATTTAAAAACTGAAATCAGTTCAGCATATATGCGGGGAAATGACATGAAAGGAATCACACACAGACGACTATCCACCACGCAAAGATTCAGCAGCCTATCAAATGTTCAGGAGCAAAATATTGCCCACTGCAAGTAACCCTTGACGTATCCAAGTACAAAGCATGAGCGTCAGATGACACTTTTATGCATAAGGGTTCCCACATGAACAACGGATATCTTCATAAAAGTACCACTGCCCAAGTAGTCTGATTCGCGAGTTAAACGCATGCCAACGTTGCTCCTACTGGAAATGTCACTTGCTCATGCGCGAGATCTGGACTTGTGTCTAAAACAAATTTCAACTCTCTCTGTCACGCACCATCAAATTCCCCAAAAATTTCAACTTCTTATCTCAGCCAGCTGTGAGAATTGTTTTTCCTCAAAAATGGTTTGACGTGATCGTATGTGTAAGCGAATGCTCATTTCATGTGTATGGACACAAACTGCACAGCAAATACTCTTGCAAAATTAGAGAAATCCACTCAACCTGGTTCCTGAATTGGCATTTTGCCAGCAGTTGCAAAATCGGAATTTTGATGTGTCCTATCACACTACATACGCGTGCATTCGAGCTCAATTTAGAGCCTTTAGCTCATATACGGTCACAGAATATCCTTATAAAGTTTCAGCTTCCTCGCTTGCTTGATTCCCGAAGTTTTGCCACCAAAAAATTTGCACAAATTTTTTAAGGAGTCCATACGTGTGAAGCCCTGATGTACGAGAATGATGATTTTTGGGATGGAGCATCGCAAATGAGGTAGGAACATGCTCCAGAAATTCCAGCTTCCTGGCTTTATCGGTTGTCGAATTGAAAATGTGTAACAAAGATGTGAAAATATACGTAAACACACACGCACACACACACACAAACAAACACATACACGCACATACATGCACACACGCACATACACCCGCAGACAACTTCTTGTCAATATGCGTCTTCGCATTCACACAAATGCGCAAAAATGCATAAAAACATGTGTCTGAGTAACACAGCCGATGGAAACATACTGCTATGCTGTCATGGTCTTGGTGTGCTCATTTTCTCAAATTGGTTGATAAGCACTCTCAACACGGCGGTGCTGGTGTCGGTAGGCCCTGGCTGAGGCAGCAGCGTCGAAGCATACTCCAAACCGGATGTTCTTCGAATAAATTCACGGCCCTCAGCCAGAAAAGAACGTCTAAAGAAAAACAGTAACCTACTGCCAAAATGGTGCTTGTCAGACAGATGTCTCTTTACCAAAACAGCAAACTTCGACCAAAACGACGCGTTCTCGTTATGATGATCTTTTCTTGCCATTTTTATTACCCGAAGTAATACAAGCCGACGCCAACCAGATGTCACCATAGTGCAAAACATATCTTCACTTTTCACGCGTTCGTAACAATATCCTGCACACTACCTATTACTTTTTGAACAGTCTGATTGCTTATACGGTCACGATGAGACACTTAAAGCTACCTTCGTTGCACTCGCCCTCTCTATTACAGCCGCCATATTGCTTTTCTGCTTTCATTATTTCCCGTATGCCATTAGCACAGTGGCACTGAGACAGGTAAAAAGAGAATAAAGTAAAGTAAACACAGCATTCCCTGTTTCTGGAAACGAGATGAAAGCAGCTTGCTGCACGGAATGAGCAGCTGAGAGAAGTACCAGGACAAGTTTTCTAGAACAGCGAGCATGGACGACAGCGCTTTTTTGCAAATGCAAGAAAAAGCACCAACCAATCATGAAAAATGTGCACGGTAAGTAGGCCTGGAAAACAATGCCGCTGAGCGAAACACGGCTTATCAGCTTTTGGTTTGATGCTGCAGCCGCGTGCTCCTGAAATCAGTGATCTTAATGTAAACACTGATGTTCATACATATAAAAACTATATTATATATTCTTTTTTACCACGTTTCACTCGTCTAAAACGGGAATGCATTTGCATTAGCAGCTGCTTACCCTTTTGACATTTTCGCTCGCCTTTTTTTTTAATTCCTTTAAGACCCTTTTACTCCACTATCTCTTTTGGTGTTTTTTTCAGCCCATTTATCACTCCTCTCTTTCCGGTCATTCCAAGCTATTACATCATCTTACGGGGGCGCTTCTTAGATCCCTTTATAAATCACCCATCCCTTTCATCGGAACCCTGGGTTTTCATCTTCATACAAAGTCGCGACTATCGAAGCCTCTTCTGTGGGTATTCAGTTCCAATGCTCCTCGAAGACCTTCGTCGTCCATCAACGCAACCTCTGCTGCTACGCTCGAGAGTCAGCCTTAATTCTCTGCTCTTCGCTCCAGCACCTGGCATCTTTTGTTCAGGAAGTCAATAAAACCTTCATATTCCAAGCGTCACACTGTACTGTTTTATGCGCTTTGTGCTGTGTAACAGCGTTACAAAAGCATATTGTCACGGGGTTGTCTGTGTGTGTGTGTGTGTCCCACATTTTGTCTCGCACTTTTAACTCGGGAACCACAAAAGCTAAGCGGCTGAAATTTTGGTATAGTGTTCCCCGCCAAAGGGTGACGCGGCAAATTTAAATTCAGCCTTCCCGTACCCGCGGGTAACTCGTACGGCCCCGTGAAAGTTTTTTACGGGTAAATCAATATCTCAGGAACCACGGAGTCTAGGAGGCTGAAATTTTACAGTAATGACCCACTGCCCACGCTCAACCTTGCCCATTCAAATTCAGCTTTCCCGCGCTCTCGGGTATCACCTACGGGCTAGTGAAAGTTTTTACGGGTAAATTATTATCTCGGGAACCACGGAATCTAGATATTTACCCTACAAGGTTTCGAATTCAGCCTTCATGCGCTAATGCGCGAAATTTCTAACTATTTTCCAGTTTTTGAACTACTTTTGCACAGACAGAAGTACAAAGCAGTGAAAATCATTAGTAGGCAATCGTTTGATGGGCTGAACTACACAAAACGTATGATCGCACCGGCTAGTCTGGTGTTGCTATTTATCTTTTTTTTTTTTTTGCTATCTGCATGCCTCTTTACCAAAAAGTTATAAACACACTTTTTTACTCAGCTAAAGCATACATCAACGCAAGAAGCCACATCGCAATCCACCACACGTAACGAGTCCCCCAAATCATAAAAATTTTTACTTTAAGCACTCCTGTACTCCATTTTCTCAAGCGGCATTCGTTCACTGTTCACCACATGATGCTGCGTTCACAGCGCTCCTTTCAGTCACCTTAGTTCTCAAAGACGTCTTCCTGAATATTTGACTTTGATTACCTACTGAGCTAGTGATAATGAACAACATTTAAGAACTGGAAACAATTGAAAAGCCCACGAAGCCCCCCAAAAAAGCTTCCAGGCATACGACACTTCAGCGCGAGAACTGGTATCTGAGAATAATATAATGGCACCAGTTTGGTGGCATACTTATGAGGAACAGTGAGAAGGGGAAGCAGGCACCTTTGCACCATGAGGGAGAAGGAAATGCGAAATAAGTTAGGTGGCTGAAAAGACAGACAGATAACTGGGCACCGGAAAAGCTGGGGGAACAAGAACACGGAAAATACGGGCAGAAAGAAATAAAACATCGCCGCGCAAGAAAAAAAAGTGCCAGCAAATGCGGGAAAAAGCAATGCATGACAAGGCACCAAAACTTCTCACTTCATCAGAACTGACTGAACCAATGAATCATATGCGTGGACAAAAGTTAAACACCGGGATGGAAAAAAATATTTTTTTTCCAATAAAACCCTGCACAAAATGGACGCTCCCCCTCTTTGTGCGACCACAGCTCGATACCCCTGAAAACTCATCTCGTCTGACTCACCACACCAAACCCTGTAACTGGCGACGGCCACTATGAGAGAGCAACAGAGGCTCGTTGGCAGTGACCGAAGGACAGCACGATACACTGGGCACGAGAGAATCGCGGAAACGCCGACCACCCGTTGATGTAACACCGTGAAAAAGATATTAGCAGTGGTGATGGAGGCTGTCGAGTATCTGCAATAATTGTATAAAGTGTGTGTTTTTGTAACATGTGGATGTTTACTACTTGTTATGCTCTGTTTCCTTCCGCGCGGCACTGTCCTTTTCATGTACTTTCGTCTTCAACAAAGGAAGATGCTGGATCAACAGCGTCCACATGTTACGACGGCGCTTATCCCTTCCTTTCCCCTTTTTATGCGTTTTGTGCTACAGCAGTG